GTAAAAGTAATATGCATTTGAAGTGTCTTCCATATCTTTCATGGCTTGATGGCTCATATCTTTTTAGCGCTGAATAACATTCCATTTTCCAATGAACTGCCGTGTATTTGTCCACTCCCCTACTGAAGGGCATCCTGGTTGCTTCCACTTTTCGGCAATCATGAAAAAGCTGCTATAAGCATTCGTGTGTAGTATTTTGTGTGGTCGTCCTTCTCTCATGACCTAATTCTCTCTAAGTGGTCTATCAACAGAAGAAAAAAAAAGATCATTTCTAACTTAATTTTAAAATAGAATTGACCTATTAATTCACAACTACTCATTACTGCTTCAGGGTTATTGATTCAAATTGTGTCGGAGCCTCATTCGCTGGTCCATTCAGCCAATATTTACAAAGCTTCTCACCAGGTACTGAACGTGGAGGTAGGGGAAGAGAGAGACAAGCTCCCACCTCTAAGACTAGCAAGGAAACAAAGGAATACAGAATACGGCTGTCCTAAAGGACTGTGTGTAGGATGTGGAGGCCTGTCCTACGTGGTGAGGATGCTTTAGGGCAGTGGTTCTCAACCTTCCTAATGCCGCGACCCTTTAATACAGTTCCTCATGTTGTGGTGACCCCCAACCATAAAATTATTTTCGTTGCTACTTCATAACTGTAATGTTGCTACTGTTATGAATCGTCATGTAAATATCTGATATGCAAGATGTATTTTCGTTGTTACAAATTCAACATAATGAAAGCATAGTGATTAATCACAAAAACAATATGTAATTATAGATGTGTTTTCTGATGGTCTTAGGCGACCTGTGAAAGGGTCGTTCGACCCCCAAAGGGGTCGCAACCCACAGGTTGAGAACCGCTGCTTTAGGGACAGGTTTATAAGAGGAAGCAAGGCAGAAGGTCATGTCTACCTTGAGCCTCCCTTCATGGCTCCCCCAACCCCCTCCAGTTAGGGCTTGCTCCTCCCTCCTGAACTATTTTGCCCATTCATGCATATGTGTGATAAAAGCTGAAGAGCGAAGGCCGAGTTCACACAAGAGCAGAGTGAAGGAAGAGAAATTCATGCATCCATGGGAATTTTGCAGGTAGAATCAATAGGAGTTCGTGACCAAGAGGATGTCGTAACCGAATGGAGAGAAAAGAAGGCTAACTTCTAGAGCAAGCCTGGGACGCGGAGGCGCACCTGTGTGTGGACATGCAACTACATGTGTGTACACGGAGCTTTGGCTTGATGTCTTCCGTCTCTGCCTTGAGGAGAAGTGGATGTGACTGTGGCCATGAATGCTGACCAGGTGATGCGAAGCTGATGTCCTGGAGGCTGACGGGATTCCCCCTGGCTCATTGGTCAGGTGAGCATTTCCTATCTATTGGGGGTACGATGGGTTGCTTGTGAGACTGTTACCACTCAACATGACCTATCCTATTCTTCACTTGGGCTTCCCTGAGCAGCCCTTTGCCATTGCCTCACTCGCTGGGAAAAAGTGACAGCAAGGCGGGCGGGTTGTACCTGCCCTGGAAATCCAGAGGAGTTGCTCCCCCTTTTTTTCCTGCTTCACTCAGAACCGAATCCTCTGATTGAGCTGAGTGGCAGGGCTCAGTCCCTATTCCCAGCTCCATCTACTGTCACTGATCTGTGATTTCTCTCTACAAATGGGCTGATTGCTTAAATTGAATCTTCATGCTCAGGCATTTAGAGGAAGCTTCAGATGCAAAATTGTTTACAAATGTCTGGAGTCTGAACCCTGAATGTGAGAAGTATATTTGCATAAGTTTACGAGGGCTAAAAGGCACCTTTTGTCTTGGTGCAGATGAGCCCTGCGGGAGGGTCCCAGCAGTGAGCATTAATCCCAAAACCACAGACCGCATCTTATTCTGAGAACTGGTTCACATATGGTCTGAGATGGAGATTTCTCCTTCCTCTAGGGCAGCAGTCTTCAACCTGTGGGTCGAGACCCCTTTGGGGGTCGAACAACCCTTTCACAGGGGTCGCCTAAGACCATCGGAAAATACATCTATAATTATATATTGTTTTTGTGATTAATCACTATGCCTTAATTATGTTCCATTTGTAACAATGAAAATACATCCTGCATATCAGATATTTACATGACGACTCATAACAGTAGCAAAATTACAGTTATGAAGTAGTAACGAAAATAATTTTATGGTTGGGGGTCACCGCAACATGAGGAGCTGTATTAAAGGGTCACGGCATTAGGAAGGTTGAGAACCACTGCTCTAGGGGGAGCCTAGGACTGCCAGGAACCCCCAAGCAGCCAGGAGCCACCCCATCAACCCTGCCAGACTCCATGTACACCTACCCGAAGAGAACAGGCACAGTGCACCGTCCCTCCTACCCAGCACACAGCTCTCCGCACACACCTGCCCCGCTTCAGTCTTCCCTAAAGAGGCCATTGTTTGCCTTCCCTGTTGTCTTGTCAGGAGCCCAGGCTGTGGGGTGCCCTCTCTGCCTCTGTCCTTCCTGTTCCCCAGCATCACTAGGTGGGATGCCTTCTTGGACCGGAGTCACCAACCCCCACAGAAGGTTAGAGAACCTGGGTTTGGGGATGAGACGGGGGCTCCAATTCTAGCTTCATCACGTACCAGCTGTGTGCCCTGGGCAAGTCATGAAGTCAGTCCCTCTGCTCATCCACTTGGTCCCCCATAAAACGAGGATGTACTCGAATGAAAACCGCTCTGTGCAGCCTTTGGCAAAGTGCCTGGCACATGCAACCTTCAATACTAGGCGTACCGGTTAAAAATGCGGATACCGGCTAAAAATGCGGATTGGCCATTAACCAGTTAAAAATGCAGATTTTGTAATCAAGGAAAACACGATAATTTCAAGAGAAACATCAAAAGTGCTTCATTCAAAGTAATGTCCATCGCTAACACTTTTCTTCAAAATAATGAATTATAACTTCCCGCAAATGCTTTTTTTTTGGCACAAAATTCGACATTTTTAAGGGTAAACATATCTATGATGTTAACACCTTCAGAAAATTTTGACATATGAAGTTTTGAAGCTTGTTGTCAATGCAACAAAATAGCATACATATCAAATCGCATATCTACCAACATATGTGTAACTCCATCTATCGAAAAAAATCTGCATCCCTCACCGGTACACCTAGTATATAATCACTGCTATTATTATGGTACTGTTATCATTGTCATTATTATTATAATGACCCAGATTTTGTGACTATCTAAAAGCCCTCATTTAGATGCAACACTGAAAAACAAACAAACAAAAAAACCACCCAGACACAGTGTAAAAAGAACACAGAGCCATCTATGACTCTGCAAAACAACAACAAGCTAGAATCTTCTCTAGTGAAGCATCCAGGTTACATTTAAGTTAAACATCACCCTGAGCTAAATATAGAACGTGGGAAATTCTACAGAAACAGGTGACCCAGATTCCTCCGCCAGATAACCGGCTTGGGGAATGGGGATGCGGGGATGCGGGGAAATGGGACAGATTTAAAGGGACCCCTGCAGTGCGGAAACCTTGTGTGCAGCCTGATGGAAGCAGCCACTGCAAGGACTCTTCTTGTGTGTTGTTGGAGGAAACCAAGGGGTTTGACCATGAGCAAGTACTCGTTGATATTGCAATGGTGTTAGAAATTTTGCTAGACGTAATTGTAGAATTGCAGTTATGGCCTAAACATGTCCAGTTATTATACATAAATGCTGAAGTCCTCTCAGGTACAATTACTGCAATGCTGGGATTTACTTTAACGTCTCCTGGAGGAAATGAGGTGGGCATGGGAGAGGCGCACATAAGGGTTAAATTGACCGCTTTGACTGCTCTTTCTACTTTCATGCATATGTGAACATGCCTAGCTATACTAATAAAAGGGTAATATGCTAATTAGACCAGACATTCTTCAGGATCAGGCTGGCAGGGGAGAGCAGTTAGGGGGTGATCAGGCTGGCAGGCAGAGTGGTTAGGGGTGATCAGGCTGGCAGGCAGAGTGGTTAGGGGTGATCAGGCTGGCAGGCAGAGTGGTTAGGGGTGATCAGGCAGGCAGGCAGGTGAGTGGTTAGGAGCCAGCAGTCCTCCCGGATTGGAGAGGGTGCAGGCCAAGCTGAGGGATTCCCTTCTCCCGTGCACGAATTTCGTGTACCAGGCCTCTAGTAATGAAATAAGTATAAAAGTCCACATAAGCTCCCACTGGCTTGATTTTACCAGTGCCCCCTTGTGGTAGCCCAGTGCATACACTCTGGGGAGGGGACCCTGGTCCAACCCAGGAATCAAAGGGAACTGGCTCCTGCACCTTCACAATGCCCGCCCCCCCCTCCCCCCCGCCCCCCGCAACCCCACAATATCTGCCACCTGCCTTCGGGCCTCTGCCCTCTGTCCTGGTCCTGGACTATCTCAGCACCTGCTAGACACTCTCGTTCTGACCAGCGACCTAACTTCTCTGAGCCCCAGAGTCTTGTTTCAAAACTGGGAATGGTGATAGCTACCTCCTGGCTTGAAGCCCTCAAAACACGTGACTCTTTCCTCCTCTTCCTGTCTTTGGTTCCTCTTGGTTTAGCTGAACTCTGCAGGCTGGGGAGAGCCAAGCTTCGTGAGCCTGTATCGAGGCTGCTGATGATACAAATGAGGCCGGCTGGCAGGCTTTGGTGCACGGAACTCAGCTCGGAGCCAAGCCTCCTCCTCCTCCTCTTCCTCCCCCCGAGCATCTCTGCGAATCATAGCTTCCAGCTATTAAACTAAAAATGCATCTTTCACTGTCAAGAAGCCATGCCACAGACATCCAAGAGTCCTTAGCTATGCAAGTTTGCTATCTTGGCCTAGAAATGGGGCAGCTGAGCCAACTTAATATCTTCCTTCAAGAATCTGCCGGCGCTGATGCCAAGAATGTTCACCAGCTGTCTCTGGCTCTGATGAGCGATGAACCAGAGGAGCCCAGAGGAGCCACATTTGACCTGTTGTGAATTCAGCTTCCACCACCGGGCGGCGTGGGGCCTGAAGACAGGCCCCAGGCAAGGGGCTGGGCCATGTTCAGCGCCCATCTCAGCAGAAGGGCTTCCGATGGAGGACCAGCCGTCAGAGGGCCCGGGCCTGGGCCTGCAGCACCCGGCCTTACAGGCAACGGTGAGTATTTTGATTTATATTTAAAGGAATAGAGAAATTCTGGAGAGTGATGGAATCTACTTTTCATCTATAAAATGGCCAGAGCTAAACTTCTGTCTTTTCTTAGCTACACTTAGGTCATCACCGCATTAACAGAAATAGCAAAGCTTTAGGATCAAGTGGCTTTCTTCATGAGCTTGGGCCTGGGAGACTGTTAAACCCCAGAGCCCAGCAGGGGCAGTGGGACAGGCTGTTCTGCAGTCACTCCCTGCGGGAGGAGCGCCCACCGGACACGCGGCCTGGACAGGCGGGCTTCCCCGGTCACTCCAGCACATGATGGCTCAGCAGGTCTATTCGTGGCTCAGAGACCTCCTTCTCCTCTACCCCAGGGTCCGCAGAGTCCTTTAGTTAATGTTGCCGAGTGGGCAGGTCCAGTTACTCCACCAGCGCCTGAAGCAGGACGGCTGGGGACCCCTCTCCTTCCCGCTGCTCCCCTCCCCTTTCCCAGACAGACCCTGGTTCCAGACCTGCCTGGGCAGCCGGGCCTCAGCCTGGAAGGACTGGCCCTCACCTCCAGGTGGCCACAGACCTTGTCCTTGGGATCTCAGGCTACTAGTAGCTTCCTCCTCTGCAGCCTGTTGTGTCCTGCGGGGATTAGGGATGGCCGGTCGCTCACCCCCCAGGTCATCTGTCACCTGCCTCCCACTTGTCGTCACCAGCCAGGGTTTGTTTCCATAACCTGGGTTCATGGGACTGAGGGGTTCATGGGACTGAGGGCTTCATGGGACTGAGGGGCCCCTCCAACCCTCCACACCCAGAGGCCTTCGCTCTGAACTGTCTGGAGCCGCTGGCAGTGGGTGTGGAAGAAGCGCCTCCTGTTGTAACTTCATCACCAATTAAGTGAACCTCTGGCATCCTCAGAGGAAAAATTACTACAAGCTCTGAATACATGTTTGAAAGATCAGCATGATCATTATAGAGCATTACTCAGTTTGTTAAGTGTGCTTTAAAAAACCCACCATGGAATATATCTTTCATTGTAAGGGCATCTGTTGTTTCTTACAAATGATTAGCTGT